GGGGACAGGCCGCCGCCGCCGCTGTCGCTGTCGGAGCTGGGCGCGCTGTGCAGAGACAGGCCGCCGGGCGAGTGCAGATGGCGGCCCTGGCTCTTCAGTAGCTTCTTCTCATGCTTGCGCTTCTTTTTCTCCATCTTCTCCAGCTCCTTGCGCGCGATCTCCTCGGGGTCCATGGGCTCGCCGCTGCACGTGGTCGGGTGCGAGTTGTGCGCCGGCCTCCCTGGGCCCTTTTTCGTGTTCTCCTTCTTTCTCCACTTGGCCCGGCGGTTTTGGAACCAGACCTAGAGCAGCCGGAGAGGGGAAAGGAAGGCACAGTCAGGCGGGGGGTGGCCCGGCCAGGCCGGCCGCAGGCTGCTGGGGCTGCGGCCTCCCCACTCCCCCAGCAGGCCTGCGCCGCCTCGGCTCTGGCCACGCTGCCCCCTGCGGCTGCAGGTTCCAGCGAGCGTCTTTTTCACCCGGAAGGAGCGTAGAGGGAGCCTCCCAGGCAGCTTCCCGCTCCGGCTTCTCACCTCGGGGCGTGGGAGCTGCCCCTTCGTTGGGCATGGCGCGTCTGGCCCCGAAACGAGGGCTGCAGGGTTCCTGGTTGGAGGCCTAGAGCAGGGCCCCTCCTCGCCTCCTCCGGGCTGGTGTTCTAAGCAGCCCATTCGGCCTGGCTTTGACCGTCCAGCCCGCGGCCTCAGCCTGGCCGCCCTCCACACCTGTCTTCGGCCCGCTGGAGCCGGTGTCAGAAGCCCAGATTCCTGGGTCTCCCATGAAGGGAATGCTGGGCGCCCTTCTTCGGTGGAAGGACTGGGACAGCCGAGCTTACGTAGGCCTTCAGCAGCCTCCCTCCCCAACACATCGGCACACCTTTCCTGCAGTCCAGGCCAGGCACCAACTCAGTCTTCCCCAACCCAGCCGGCAGGCCTGCATCGCGGGGAAGAGCAGGCGGGAAGCAGGAGGCTGGCAGCCGGGCCCTGTTGAGGAGAGGCCAGGCCATCCTACCTCCTCCACCCTCCCTCTGCCGGCCTGGTCCCAGCCTCGCGGGACTCCCCCGCTCCTGGCCAGCGCTTTCTCTGCCTCCGGCGGAATAGCAGCCCTAAGTCCTGTCCCACCGCGCTAACCACTTCACACACCAAGTCGAATCTTCCGAAGCCCCTCCGACAGCACTCCCCTCCCCAAGAGAGCGAGATCATTCCAGTTCTTTGTTGAGGCCCAGCCTGGTCGGGTGAACCTAGTCCAAGCCAAGGGGCATAAAGTGGTGACCCCCAAGGCTGTAGCTACTTTTCAACTTCTGTTTTTGGTGTGAGCTCCAGGCCGCCTTGTCACGAAAAATTACTCATTATCGTATTGGGGGGGTGGGGGTGGTGAAGGGGTCTTGACTTCACTTAAGACACTTAGAACAAATTGGATAAAAGGATTTCCGAACAGAAGAGGTCATGAGGGGAGGCCAAACACAGAAGGAAAGCACCTTTTTAGACAAAGATGTTTGTGCAGAAACAGGCCTCTCTGCCAGCCTCGGAATCCCGCCCAGCGCTGCATTCCCAGCTGCACATGGCACCCCACCACCCACACCCCGCAAAAAGATTTCTGTACTCTAGGAAAACATCTAATTATGCACATCTTATCTGGGATTTTTAATCCACCGAATTGACACTGTGTTTTTTAAGAGAATACAGCCCGGCAGTCTCGGAGTAAAATAAAAAATACGCACACACACAAAACCCAGAAAAAAAATCCATGGTATTAAACATTCAAACACCTTTTTTCTCCCCACTTTCTCAAAGTGTTAACTAAGTTTCTGCCTCACCTCCCTCAGCCCCTCCCCTTCTGCAAAGCAATGAATAAATAAACACAAGTTTCTAGCCGGATATTTTAGAGGCGAAAGGTAAACACAAACCGATCGCTCCAGGTTAGGTGCACTAGCCTCCCGCGAGGGCGCCGAGGCGCTGGATCCACTTTCCGGCGCTCTCACACAAGTCCCGGCGGTGCCGGCGCCTACTCACCACCTCCCCCACGCAGCCCTCCAAGACCTCACTCACTTCACGCGGCCTCCGGGAACCCACGATGCCACTTCCCGGGTCGGACGGAGCCGCTGTTCTCGCGCATTCAGGGTCTCTGCTGTCCCCCTCCAGCCGCCTCGGCTTCTCCTCAGGGGTGTCCACTTCCCTCCGCGCGAGGCCCGAGCCCTAGAGCCACCCCCCAACTGCCCTGGCCGGCGGGAGCACAGTGGGCTCAGAATCCGGACGCGCTCTCGCGCCTAGAACAAAGGCGGGCGGGTGCCCGACAGGCCTGGCTGGAGTCGCTGGCTTCGGCGCGGGGCAGCGGGTCTTTACCTGCACTCGGGACTCCACCAGGTCGAGGCGCAGTGCCAGCGCCTCGCGCATGAACACGTCGGGATAGTGGCTCTCGTTGAACGCCTTCTCCAGCTCCTCCAGCTGCCAGCCGGTGAAGTTGGTGCGGGTGCGCCGCCGCTTGCAGCCCGGGCTCTCCTTGTCCGGGTCCCCCGAGTCTGAGGGCAGGCATAGGACGCCGCGCGCTCAGCCACGGCCCGGGCCAGATCCCCTAGCCCTTCCGCAACCTGCTGGCCGCCCGAGGTCCGAGGGACACCAAGAGGTGTCCGCCCTGCGAGGACACCGCCCTGCGCCCGGTGAAGGGTGGGGACAGATGAGCGCCCCAGCCGCGACCTGCCAGCCGCTAGCCACCCAACCCCTCCCGCCCGAGAAGCCCAGCTCACATGTCCCTCTCCCCCCACCCCCGCCGCGCCTACCTGACAGCTTGAAGGGCTGGCTGTCGCCGCCGACCCCGCAGGCGGCCGGCAGCAGCGGCGTAGGGGTGACCACCGAGGCGGCGGCTGCGGCGCACGAGCCGCTGAGCAGCCCGTCGATGGAGAAGGGCACAGAGGCGGCGGCGGCGGCGGCGGCCGACTGCAGCTGGTGGCCGGCCAGCTCATACACGTGGTGGTGGCCCAGCGGGTAGGGAAAGCCCACCACGCCGCCCAGTGAGCCTCCGAACTGGGCGTGCGGGTGCTCCAGGAGACGGCCGTCCATCATCTCGCGCTGGGGGCTGGCGGCGCCGGCGGCGGGGCGCGGGGGCG